CATTTCAGTGACAAAAGCACTAGACTGACATAAGGTTTTACATTATTTAACTGCTGCAGCACATACCCCTAGTCCAATCCTCTTTGTCAAAGTAGAATTTGGCTAATAAGCAACTTACGTATTGGGCATACATTGGTCAAAAAACAGACTGAGTGGGCAAAATAGTCAAATCCCTGACAATTTTGAGCCTTAATGATTCCTTTTATAACATCATTACAAGGTGGCTAGCTCTATTAATACCAAAGGTCTTATGTTTCATACATGCAATGTGAGAGGGAAGCTGGTCACTGGAAATTAAGCGTGCTAGTGCCTTTATTAGGCACTCAAAGTGTAGAGGGGAAAAGAGCTGAAAAGGAACAGACAGTCCAAAGAAATACAGGTTAAGACTAGGAAAAAACATATCCCAAAACAGAAGCATAATTAAGGAACCAAATTGCCAATTAACAATAAATAGCCAATGAGGAATGTGTATGGAAGAATGTAGGGTTGTATGGAGAATTAAAGGGCAATACTGCAACAAAGCTTTATTAATGGAGGATTCCAAGGTATTTAGGCTCCTAAATCCAACCTAGGAACTTAAACTCCCACTCAGTTCTAGAGGAAATTAGGCATCTCCATATCTCAGTGGATTCAGGCTCAAGAATCATTACCATAATGCATCAGTATACATACCTCTGGTGCCTTAGGAACTGTCTTAGGCAACCATAAAATATTTCCAAGAAACCCCTGATGCACCCGTGACTAAGCACAAACCTCCCACTCTACCATTAATACACTGAATGTTCTACACATAGGACCATTTAATGAGACTCAGTAAAAGCATGAGAAGAGCAGTTGCAGAAATGCAGAGTATGAGGAAATAAAGTTACACGCAATTGCTTATCCTGAACCTACCTAGAGGTTCAGAAATTTCACCTGTAAAGATACCAGCCTTTCTTCACACACAATTATCATGTACCATTTGTAATACCATAGAACCTACAAGCTCATACTATTCCGTAACACAATCTACAGGTCATGGACCAGTCCTACATAGACCCAAAGGAAAAAAACAGCATGCGTACACATCTGATGAAAGTCGTACCATTCACATATTAGCCACAACACAATTTTTTTTTTAATTTATTGGCTCAGAGTAGATCTAATTACTACCATCTACTGTAGAATTATCATAAAAACATTCTTCATATTACAGTAGAAAGGAGAACTACGCATTGAACCACAGTGAGGAATACAGTATTACATATACTCTAAGGAAGCAGGAGAAACTCCTTCCTTGTATGCAGTATTAAATATAGCTAGCTAGATTAAAATGTATTCCATGTAACTGACTTACAAAAACTGAAGAAATGGGAACCACTCTAGCAGTTATAATCTTAGAGAGCTTTTTGTTACAAACATGAGGATACGTTTGTAAATCATCTGTAACACCTTCCACTCAGAACCCCTGTGTAGATACTTCACTGTTACTACACATAAAAATCAAAATAACTTATGAGAAAGCAGCAAAGAAAATTTATCAGGCAACCTGATATTAATATCTTCATAGGATAAACTATGTTTTAATGAAGATATTCTCAGCAATACATGTGTTATATCTTTTTTTCCTTCACATTCGGATTCTATATCATTGACGTCATGACGTACATTGAAGTTTAAGAACTACATCATTTGTACATGACCTCTACTCTCCTTCAGACCCCCTCAGTTATGCAGTTGACCAGGTTAAAGAAAAATCAAGTGGTTTATCTGGTAACAGTTAGTGTCAAAACAAAGCACATATATTGTGTTTGTTAGCTGAAGTCATAATAAAAATCAAAATATCAAAACCAATCCAAAAACCAGTGCTTGCTTTACTTTACCTTTTTTTCAGAATAAACTCACATAATTAAGCTTTCCACTTTTCCAAGTAGCTGAGTATGTATTCCTGCACAGCAGGAGGTTTTCTCCACAGCCATATTGACTTGGACAATAAACAAAGCAGAAATCCCTGACTGAAATTTACAGCTAAATTTAACCATGCATATTATTAGTAAAATTTGCATATCTGTCTTTCAACATTAAGAAAAAAATAAAAGTTTAAATTCATTGAATTTGAGCACTGCACTGCTTTGCAAGGAAAGAAAAAAAAAAGATTTAATTTGTAATTTCCATATTTATTGAGGCTGTATGTCAAAGGAAATCTGTGTAAAAAAATCCTGGTGCTGCCTTGTTGAGATCTGAAAGATGACAGCATACGAATAGTAAAGGAGCTTCTCCTTAACAAAGATGGCTTAAACAATACCTGTAAAATTCTGATGAAGGCCCATTGGATTCTAGAAAACATTTCCAGGTTCTCTTACCTCTCTGTCCTTCAACCACAAAATACATAGAAGCGGTTGACATGTTTTGAAGAAGTATCATCCAGCTTTTCCCCTCTGTGTTGACTTTCCCCATAAAAAATCAACAGATCAGTCAGCACTGGCTTCTTACAACTGAAGATGGCAGAAACTTCCACTGATGCCTTTTCATTGATTTTTTGGTCACACCACTGCATCATCACGAACACTCCAAAGCCACGAGTCATCAGTAGCAAATATTCACCTTCTGTTTTCTGACTTTTATGTCTCTTTTCACAGCATCCTGGACACCTGGATGTCTTAGAAATTTCATTTAGAGGAATTAGGGTTTCCCATTCCTTTAAAACTAAGTTACTTCACCTGGGTCTGCCTACCCACAAAAACGAGGTATTTGGATGCGATTGTGCCAGCACAAAATGTTTTAGATCAACACAAATACTTCCATAATGAAGATAGAGCATCATATTACTTTGATGTACTTTTCCAGTATAAAAGTTGGGGGTATTCCAATGTATTACAGAGATTATACTCTTGGTTTGATGGGTTGGGGTTTTGGGTTGGGTTTTTTCTTTTTATTTTTTCTTTCATTATTATTATTGGGTTTTTTTTGGTTTTTTTTCAACTGAAGTAGTGAATTTTTATCAGTAAAGCGCTCATTAAATTATGAGCATGATCACAATACCACAGTGTATACTTTATGGCTTTCCATACTTGCATTTGCTCTGGGCAGGATTTCAAGGTGCCTGCAACCTATCCTTAGGTTTTCAGAGCTTGGATAATACTGAACTGGAGGATGGAGAAGAAATAAATTGGCAAAGTGAGGAACTTAGTTATCACTTTAAGACATCAACAACAGTTGACTGTGCAAATAAGTGGCCCAGTCTTTCTTTTCTTAGGTTTCAGATGAAACAAACACAATCATTAACACTGAAACAAGATTTCTAACACCCCAGTGAGATGCACAGATCAGCTCACACCTCTCAGAGTATTTCTAGCATACCTTGTGGACTTGGACAGGAGATCTCTGAATCATGCTCCTGATTTTTTTCCTGCAAATATAACCACAAGTTGTTTGTTTTCTAATAATGAGCCACGCTGGGAGAGAAGTGCACTGCAACCACCAACCCTAGAATTCAGGCTATGGCTATGAACAGCAGCTTTCTGTCATCACAAGGTCTAACTGAGGTTGGTGAGACTCTCTAACATAGTATATGGCTCCCTAGAGAGTTACCTCCTTGTGAGATACAGGCATTGCATGGTTACATTAGATTTCTTGCAAAATGTTGCATTCAGCATTGGAGGAGTAATTTTATTCTGCAAGAGTGCAATCAAAACTAAGTAAATAACCTCAGTGATACAGAGCATTTACCGGGAAGTCACCAATGAACCATCTGCATTCTGGTCCAATCATAACAAACCAAAAGACTAGAAGAAAATATGACTTCCAGTGAGGTAACTACAAGATGCTGAGAGCTCACCAGGATGCGTTCATGACATTGAAGTCAATGGGAGTCAAGGCCCACAGTTCTCCAAATACAAATTGCTGAGTAGGAAACCAAGCCAGTAGTTAAACGTTTCAGAATCAAGCACTGAAATGAATGAGTTAAAGATTAATTCACTCACAGACTGTGTGTACATGGTCACCTCATGGGGCCATCACCAGGAAGACAAGAGATGATTTTAGAACTGACTCTACCAGAGGCTAATTAACAGATATGCTGACTGTAAATAAAAGCAGGAGGTGGTAAACAGAAACGAATAGGAAGTTTGATGGGGCTCCCAACTGATGCTGTGTGTCAATAAACATCAGCTGAAACTTGGATAATGCTTTTATACTCTCTTAAGGAAATCGTTATTATCATACTATTCTGTAACACAACCTAAACTAATCTCCATCTATCATATCAGGGAAGATATTTTTGATCAACTCTACATTTGTTAATTACAAAACCAAGCATTTTGAAGTTATTTTGGTTTACATATTGAATGAAGTAGATTATTTTAAAGGGCAAATTATGATATTCAGATTTACTATCCATAAAACAACTATTTCTTATGTCCTAATCTAAATTAGTGACCCTTGTAAAAATACTGTTTCAAAAACACCAGTGAGATGGCACAAATGGCTATATAAAACAGAGAAGAGACTAATACATACAACGACAATTAGGCTTTTCAAGCACATGAACACTTTTTCAGTTTACCCCCATCATTTCCTAAACCTGTAGAAGATAATCACTTAACTCTCTGGCTTTTGGCATGAGATTTATTGTACATATTTTTCCATGGCATTTTCCTTCAGTTACTCTTTCACAGGTTTTCTGTCAATAAAGGGATACCTGTAAGAAAAACTATTTTGATAGTACTGAACATTGAAAAGATGGTGATACTCATCCATTCACTGCCACACACTCTCAAAAGTTAACTCCCAACTCAAGTTGGGGTTTTTTTATTGCTTCCTCATCCTCTCTCCCATTTAAAGACCTGATTCAACAACACTTTTCTCAAGCAAGCAGGCACTTTAAAGTAACCAGAATCACTGACATAAGGATAGACTATTTTGCATGAAAGATTTTACAGATGCAATATTCTCTTTTCCTTGAAGTTTAAGTAGTTACTACCTACTACTTAAATAGAAAAAAATTTATAGTCTCAGTCCAGTTACTTGTGAACACATATTTATTTCACACCCAATTACTTCTTACAATTCTTCCAGTTTCTGGAGTGGATAGATTTGGAAACTCAGCTTGCTTCTCACTTCCTGTGAAAAGAGCATTAAGGTTCTGATTAAGGCATACTGATGATGTGAGAGAGGTTGTACTACTCTTGCTATTCTTGATACACTTTAGAGACACAATTACAATCTCTCTTCACAAAATTTCTAAGTTCTTTTTAAAAGAATTTACATCATTTTACTGCATCTTTAGGAAAACACGAACATAATTTCTTTTGCTACGCTTTTCAACTCATGAATTCTAATGTACTAAAATTTCTTCCTTCTATAAGGATTACTTGAGGTTAAGCTAACTGACTGTGTACCATTACACTTCAAAAAGTATTATTTCTATTCCACACATACGCAGCTGGGAAGTGGTACCATAGGAGCTCAATCCTACACTTTCCTTTCTTTCTCCTCTTTCCCAACACAATTTTGGTACTAGAATGATGAATCTCTTTCTCAATGATATTCTTCAAACTTTTGTCTGGCTATTATCTTTTCTTACAAATGTTTATTTAAAAGAATTCTGAAATAATAACAGGGAAGAGGGGAATTACTGTTCATCTATGTACTATAATCCAATTCTGCTGACAGAAATGTGAAGTAAAAATGTATATCCTGTCAGGAAAAGAAATAAAAGAGACCCCACCTATTTTGGTCAATATAACTACCATGTAGACTTAAGTACACAGGCGTATAACTAGATATATCTATTCTGAGGTAATCATAACACTTCTGAAGAGTTTATTAAAAATATAGAAAAAATTAGCTGCTGTCTTAAAAACTAAGCACATGATCATTTATGGATTTAATCATTAATGCCTGTGAAGGCTAAAAAAGCATAGTATTGCTTAGCAGTCATGAAGCAATATGAAACTGCCATGAAAACAAAGCTAAAAATGTCTGGAAAAATATTTCTGTAAAAGTGCTAAGATGCAAACAAGTAACAGAATAACAATCAACTTTTGCTTAAGAAACACCAAATGCTGCCAGTCGCTGATAGAATCTGGCTACAAGCTGCATTCTAACACTGAACTAATGACAGAACGTAACACATACTAAAACTAATGTAGGTCATATTAACAATTTTCCTCCCTGAATTTCACTGTTCACTTTGTTTTCTCTTCTTGTCTTAATACAAAGCCCAGTGAACACTGCAGGAGTCCTACACTAATGTTCTACCCTCATACTTTGGAAGAACACCCAAAAAGGCTCACAGTTACAATAAAGACACATTTGTAGCAAATTCGTACTGCTACACAAAGAAATAAAAGAGAAATGGAAGCTGCAAAAGACAAAAAAAAACCAACCGAACAAAACAGCCCAACAAACCCATATAAAACAACCAAACAAAACCCAAACAACAACAAAAACACAACAAAACCCAACAAAACAAAATCAACAGAAAGCCTGAGACTCCAAATTCACAACTTACTCAGCTGCAGTTCTCTATGCCCATGCTTGTATCTTTTATGACTGGCTTACACTTTTCTTGGAGGAAGGAATTTCATTTATCAGAAATTAATTGCTGAATTCTAGATTGCCAAAGCCCATACCTACTCATTTATCAGTGTACTTCTCCTTACCTAAGGATGGCTATGCCAATTCAGATCAAAGGTCTGCTTAGCTCAGTATCCTGTTTCCAAAAGCAGCCACAAGTCAGAGTCAAGACAGCATGAGCAAAGAAATCAAATGCAGTATTTTCCCAGAATAACTTCCCAGCCTCCCACTATATTCAACTCAGGAATTACTCAGACTGATGTGATTTATCTGTTTAGACTGCCCAATGGGTCTTCCCTTTCAAGCACTTAGCGCATTACCCCTTAAACTCATGTATACTGTTTGCATCCACAACATCCCCAAAAGCAGGTCTACCTTGGAAAAAGAACTGTATCGCAGCAATGCTATGTTTTGCGCATATTCAGTGTTCATTGGATAGAGCTACTAACGTTTGCTTATTAAAACCCAGCCAAAATAAAAAAAAAGGAAGATTGATGCACCCCTTGAAAGAAACTTTGAGCTTGCACATATCCCAGCAAGATGCATCCAGTGGGAACTAGCATTCCAAGCACAGTAAAATGCTGCAAAAGCAAGAATTATAACAAGGTTGAATATAGCTGGAAAAGCAGGCAGATGTCGTGAGTGAAAAAACAGACACCCTAACAAAAGCAGCAAGAAACCTCTGTGAGCCTCCCTCAGTCCAAAAACTGAATTTTGATCCAAGAAGGTTAAATATAGGGCCGCTTGAAAGTTTTCCACTGCATCTATTTTCGATGGGAAATGAGGCTTTCAGCTAAACACTTTTTGGTTGGAATTTTTTTTTCTTGGCATGCTTAAGTATGTGCTTCTGCAAATATACTTTCCTTACCAAAAAGCCAAACTTACAAACCAAATATTTTGATTGAAAACAAAAAAAAATGTTATTAAGAAATGCCAGTGTAGCATCTCACTGAATCTGTGGCTTACCTGCTTTATGTGGCAGATCTCCTCTATCAACTGGACTTACCATGTAAGTGACAACTCTGATAACAGATAACTTTGAGGTATTCCCTACTTCCAGCACTCCCTTCAAAGAGGAAAGATCATGGCACAGCGTCAAAGGTGGTAGGCAGCTTCAGCCTTGCAGAATAGGACCAGCAGGCATCCAAGTTACAATGTTGGAGGAATACTACAGTAATACTTTTCAAAACAGTAAGTTTCAGTTTTCAGACAAAGCCATCCAGTCTCTGGAATTCTGCTAAAGCATGTAGCTTTTCCTGGAAATTTAAAAATGAAAAAAACTTAGTATTTTTTATCAAAAATCCATGCAGGAAATGTCACGGGTCAAGCAAGGTCTTATTTGTTAATCTGCAGATTTAAACCTAGCACCTAGATCCATCCAAACACAAATAAAAAACTTTAAACAGCAGTAAAACATTTCAAGTTTTCCATAGCAGTCCTGTTAGGAGGACTGTTCAAAAGCCAAGGAGCTAAAACAGATACAAAACAAGGACTTGTTAAATGGGATAACTTGATGTATGAGCCCTAAGTTACAAAAGACCAACCAGCCTAACATACAAAAGCAAAGGATGAAGATAAGATTAGACCCATAGAATGGTTTGGGTTGGAAGAGACCTTAAAGATCACCTAGTTCTAATCCCCCTGCCAAGGCCAGGGACACCTTCCACTAGACCAGGCTGCTCAAAGACCCATCCAACCTAGCCCTGAACACTTCCAGGGATGGGGCAGCCACAGCTTATCTGGATTCAAACAATGTCTACACTTACTAGGTGAGAAATACGTGATACAAAAAAATTGTATAGGAAAATCAGCAAAGTGGAAAGAAAGTGCCACATTCTAATTACTCCATTGCAGGACTCTCTAATTCAGTGAATTAATCATAAGTAATACATTTCATCAGGCTAATGCAATAAAAAGTGACAGTAACAGCTATCCCATTTTGGCTGTTACCACCCCTCTCCTTAGAACCTCACAATCAACAGGAAGAACTGAAAGCCTCTCATCCAGAAACAGCCCTGAACAGATCAAGACAGAGAAGCAACCAATTAATACTACCAGGGACTATAGTTAGAATGTTAAAACTACATTTCTAATATCCATCTCTTCCCTTGTGGCTGTTTCCTGACAATAGGTTGCCCCACACACACACCCCAAAGGCAAAATAAATTTATGAATAAAAGTAATAGAAGACAAGAAATCAATTGAGAATTCATCTTTTGTAACACTGTTGTAAGACCACAAAAGACAACTACAAAAAATCTCATGCCAGTGGGATACTATTTTCTTCCCCCTCCACCACATACACACAGGACTATTACTGCATCATTAGCACCAACTAAGAACCAAGAAAATTCAAAGGAACTGGCAAAGGAATATCCTTATTAAAAACTCAGTGGGTAAAATGAAAGGAAGGACATTTTGCTGTGAGTGAAATTCCTCTCAACACTTTGCTTTTCAATCACACCATTCTTTTACTAAAACAAAACCAGAGAATGGTTTTTAAGAGTGAGTTTCTGTGGAGACCAGGCACCTGAGAGTTCCCTGTAAGCAGTCCCAAGCACTGCCTAATGCCGATTCACTGCACAGAGTTAACATCTTTGACTGCCTAATGTTATAAAGTAAAAAGTGCTAACATGACTTGTCATTCTTGAGGCCAATTTACTCATCAAAATTAGCACAAGCCCAAGCCTGTTGTCCTTATTCATATTTGGAATCATCAGCCACTTACGTGGTGTCCCAGCAAAATTAGCACAGTGAAGGATTAGTCAGGATCTCATCCTAGAGATAAAAAATTTGTTTAGAGTAAGTGAAATACAAAGAATAAATATTCAAAATGAGTGATGAAAGATATGTTTGTTATTTCCATTTTAACTCCAGGGCAATGAGTAATTTCAGTAAGAATTTCTGAGTGTGATTGTTATCATTTAGCATTTTTAAAATTACTACTGTGCATCCTCCATACAGAGTTGGAAACTGTGAAACTTTAAAAAATGCCCACTTCAAACATGTATGCAAAACATTATTCCCTAAATTATATTCTTCAAGGATTTAATGACACACGTTCCTCTTCAAATCAGTTATACAATGTTCCTCTTTCTCATATCTGGGTTTTATCCTTATCCATGCCTTTCAACACGAAGTGTCATTTTTTTCTTCAGTTCACTTCTTACTCATAAGTGCATCACCTCATTAATTTCTCAGTTAATTTGCAGCATGTGAGAGGGCATACACACAAGCTAATGTCTGCATATACTTTACACCAAAGTTAGTAAGTCAAAGTGGAAAAGATCTACGCTGCCTAATCTTGTCTCTGCATCAACTCAGCCCAGACAAGCCTACTGTGGATGGGGCATCCACAGCCTTTTGTATCTGCTTCTTCATGTCCACTTCCTGTATCAGCTAGTAAAGAGCTATGCACAGGCTGGGCTAGATCTCTTGCCAGGAGGAATGATGGTGCACATGCCATTTGAGAATATAGGACCATTGCAGGTATTTTGATGAAGCATGAACAGAGAATCACAAATATGAGTGCAGAAGTCACTGGTATGCTTGAAGCCTGGACAAGCTTTGACTTCTAGGACAGAGTACTGCACCAAACCTCGCCTTGCCAGCCTGGATCCACATAAACTTCCAGAAATTCGAAAGTGCATTTACATACTAATGTTCTAGCAGTTGTCAGAACATAAATTAATGGTTACCTGGGCAATCGGAGGAAGACAATACAACTCACTATGTCCAAACATACTTAACATGGTTAGCAACTGCTGATAGTTGCATTATTCTCCAAATACCAAGACAATGAATCAACAGACAGTTTAACCCAGGACAATTCATCTTCATGCTTTATCATGTGTGAAACATCACACCATGAGATATTACAATCTGTAGCACAGGTAGATTATTAATAAATCTTGATAAATAATGGGAGGGGGGGATATTAAGAAAGATGAACAACATTGCCCTTAAGAATACTTATTTTGTTTCATAATCCTTACAATACGTTATCTACTTGCATTCCTTCTCCCTGCTCTGCTTCACTAATGAAAAATGAAGCAATATACAATACACTGAGTGAGCCAATAGACTGCAGGCCCATCATCAAATGCATAGTATGGAAGAATATAGGTAAACCCTTTGCAACACAACGATTCTGTGTTGCCCTCATGTTAAACTGCTGTTTCCACTGACTTGTTAATGCTCATTCTGCTGCTCATGCTGCTTCTCTAGCAAAGCCTACACATCCAAAGCAGGCTCAGAAAGAAGTCTCATCTTGGTCTGCTCTTACATTCAACAGAAAATGTCCCAGCCACATTCAGGGCCACAGCCTGCAGCTTCACTGTTTGGGCAATCCTCAGAACATAGCACTGATAAATCACATTCTTGTTCTCCTTTATGGTACACCCGAGAGCAAAGTAGTCTTTCAGCAGTTACTCCTTCTCTGCCACTTGCTCATTGCATTCCAGAAGTAACTACTGCAGCAGACTGTATTCAGCCTATTTCTTTTTGCCTAAAGGCTCTCTCACATCTCACGGACCAACAGTATCATCACAGTACTGTGCCCATCCACAATCAGAGCTGAGGTCCCTGAAAAGATGTAAGCAGAATGTTGTTCTTCTCTACAAGAAGTTATCACAAATCACAACAAAATATAGACTGCCTCAGAAGATGTGTCACTGCCTTTTTTGTGTGTGTGTGAAAGGAAAAACCTCTATCAAAACATAAGAAATATATTCACACTGTACTCTCCCATGCCTATGTCTCTGCAGGTTCACAGTGCTGGATTTCTACTCACAGTTTTTGCTTTGCAAACTTGCAGAAGTACAAATCAACATGTTCATTCCCACACTTGGGGTGCCCATCATGTTGCTCAGTTCTGGACTATATGAGGCATGCAAGAAAAAAAAGGATGGATTGGAAAAAAGAGTTTCTCTTTAATTGGTATTTTTTTGGTAAAAGTTGAAAATTGCAAGATGCCACAACTCCAACTTTCGCTACTAACTTGACTGTAAAAATACTCTTTCTTCCTGCTCCCATCTACCCTTGTCATCAAAAAGTTCCATAGTTTCTAGTTTCATGGTGGTGTTCAATGCAGTAGCCCTGCAAAATTCCCTGTGTTTTGTAGCTAATGAGTATTTGTATAGTCAGTCTTTGGATAAAGCTCTGTGGCCTGCAACAGGGAAGAGATCAGCCTAAACAGCCCCTTCTGTGTTTAACCCATGAAATTACTGCCTTCAGTCAAGGCTTCATTCTGTCAAGATTATTTGAACAATTTCCATGGACTAAGTTCTTCTTTTCACACATCTTAATAAAAGCACCATCCATTGACACATCCAATGCCTTCAATGCCGCACTAAAATTTACTGGAGAACCTGAGGAATTAAAAAGACGTTTTTCAATCTTATAAGCTAAACATCTGTATTTTTAAAGACATTAAATACCATTTTAAATCCTAAATTTTCCCATAGCATTTTTATTCCCATGTAAAAAAAAAAAAAAAAAAAAAAAAGAGAGAGAATAGTCAAGAGCCAATTTACTAATCCTGAACTAAAATGCCCTGTTGCTATTACCTGGTTTGGTGTGATCCATATAATTCTGAATACAAAGTCTTTGATGCACACTAAAAATAAGTATGTGTTAGAAGGTATATAGGTAAACCTATTGCTTGAATAAAAGAGGCCTGAATATCTGTGCCAATAAAGACATGTAGAAGTGTTACCTACTTGTTGTCAAATCTATAGGTTTGCAAAAGGTTGTAGTATCTGGAACATTCTTGCTGGCTTTCTATTTCTGCATGGTTTGATGACTGGACATCTGTTTTGAAATGCCTGCAAAAAGTGCTGTAAAGTAATATGTATTGCTATAGCAAAGCTCAGCCTTTCAGAAAAAGCAGCTGCTGCATTTTTTGGAATAAACACACAAACTATTTAAAGGCTTGACCCTCCATTCCTTCATCTCAGAATTTCTACTGACTTCAGGGAAGTCTCAGTATATGAGGAACACACAATGGGCTGTGATTCCACAGCCTTGAGCTATCCAGGCTGCTTTTCAGTCACATAAAGTAAAGCAGCCTCCCCACAGCTGTGCTGTTTTATATACCTGAAAGACAAATTCAAAAATTATCATGGTCTTATTAGGGAATTTGGATATACACTCATTACTAAATTGCCATAAAGCTCCACATTACCAACTTGTCATTACTGAACAGCTTCAAGACACACAGTATCTTTGTGCTGCATCTCTTTTCACACTGCAAGAAAATAAGAGCATATGAACGACAGTAAAAATGAAGCCAAGTGTACTGTTGAGAAACTTGGTATTCTCTTATTTCTATGAGAGCTATAGTGTAATTCTAAACTGTAGCATTCAGCATGTCTCCTGAGTTTCCTTGCTGAAATATTGCAATGGAAATTTTACAGCATCTGTGTTGCTTTTGGAAGGCATCACCTCACATCTGCTGTCTCTGTAGTGTAGAGCTTAAGTTCAGCGTAAAAAGGTACTTTGTAATAGGCAACAGGAATCCTGACAGAGCAGTAATTTACAGACTCACCCAGCTCTCCTGACTACACTCACTCGTTTTTACATCCTGTAGACATTTTTTTAATAAGGTTCTCTCCAGCAGGCACCGGCTTAGCAGTCACTTCTTAAAATGGAGCATCACATCTAGGACTGGAAAGAGACTTTTCAAACCTCTGTCAGTCATGGGGAATCTCAGCCAGACGAGAAACTTTTCATTCCCCTTTTTTCACCGGGCATTGTTGGACCTTCTAATGCTTTTCAGTAGGGTATTAAATAAACTAGCACTAAAATAACGTTCTGCTACTTCAGGAAAAGTTCTGCTTTTGACCAGAAGTGTGTGTATCGGCGGGCCTGACCCCACTGCCTGGATCGTGGAGTCCGGACAGGCACGGCCACGTCCCCAGAGCCCTGCTCAATCACTCCTGAAAGCGAACCCCCCCTCCCCCGGGTGGGCGCGGGGGGTCGGCAGAGGCGTTTATCGCCCCATTATTGCCCATTTCCTCCTATCGGGGTAATCCGTGTACTCGTTTAAAAGGGGACGAGAGTGGAGGGGATCCTGTTAGCACAGCCAACAAACTTGGGATTGCTTTTTTGTTCTGCCTGATGTGTTTAACTCCCTCCTGGCGCCTCCTCCATCGCCCCCCGCCCCGGCTCCGCTTCTCCCGGTTTAAACCCGGCGAATCACATTTCACGCTGCCGAAAGCCGAGACCCGCCGCGCCGCCACCCCGCCGGCTCCCCGAGCGGCGTGTTCCCGAGATTACAGTCATTACAGCCCCAGCGTGAGCTCCACACAAGCGCGAACCGCAACAGCGCGTCAATTAACAAACAAACGCCCCGTCCTGGGAGGACGACAACCCCCCGAGACGGCCCCGCCGCGCTCCAAGCCCGCGCCCGCCGCCAGCCGCCGCTCCCTTAAGGTGGTCCGAAGTACAGCCGAAACCACCCCCCCCTTTGCCTTCCCGGGAGCGGGAAGGGAAAGCAGCGGGTTTCCTCCGGGCAGTCCCCGGCCCCGGGAGGGGTGGACACCGCAGGCGCCGGCGGAGGCACCGCTCTGCGCCTCAGCAGGGAGCGGACCGGCTGCTCCACAGAAGCCGGCCCCGGTGGGTCGCGCGGCCCCCAGCGGCAGCACTCGTCTCCTCGGCGAGTCACCGCCCCCGGCGCCGGGCTGACGCGAAGGCTCGGAGAGCCGCGGCCCGGCCGCAGTCGGCACCGCAGCTCCGGGTGGGCTGCGAGTCACTGCCCACGGGGGCGCCTGCTGCAGGCCGCCGAGCCAGACCTCGGTGTCCCCCTTGACTGGAGTGGCACCAGCTCGGGCGCACCCCTGCGGCGGAAGCTGTGCGCCGGCCCCGCGGGGAGCGTTCACCTGCCGGGGCGGGCGCTACTCCCCACGGTCCCTCGGGAACTTCGTCCCGGCTGCTACCCGGTGCGCACACAGTGGTGCTGCGGCTGCACGGCAGCGCGTGGGCATATGAGTGTGTACCAGCGAGGTGAGCCGTCTGAGGCGCAAAGGGCGCGTTTACTCGCTGCTGCCTCAGCTGTAGGGTCCCTGGTTCTATCAACTCTCTGCCTCCTCCCTGCCGTTGAGCCTTAGCCGTTACCCCCGTACGCCAACACTGCGTTTCACACTACACGCTGCGCACGGGTGCACAGCCAGCTGTGCCACGGCTGGCTCCGGAGCCGCGGAAAACACGGGTAGACGAGGCCGGTACTGGCCAACCCGACGCTCGGTACCACCGGGCCCCGCTTCACGACGCTCCTGCCTCCTCCAGCCGCACGTGCAGCGACGGGAAACCCACCGCAACATTCAGACCTGAGGGGTACTGAAGTCCTGCGGGTGAGCAGGAGTTGGCACAAAACCGCTTCCGAGGAGACTCCGGGCAGCTGCTGAACTGCTGCTGCTCCTGGAGTGAACCTCGCCTGACCGGGAAGCCTTGCAAGGGGCAAGAAGCTCCCTGCAGCAGGCCGACCGCACCCGAGCACCCAACGGGGAGCGTTTCAGCGTGCAGAACTGCTGCCTGAAACGTACGGACAAGAGCCCGGGCAACGCAGTTAAACCTCGCAGCCACGTACCACGCACCCTGGGCCCCGCTGAGCACCCACCACGCCGCACTTGGGGTGCCAGCTCCACCTTAAGGAGGGCTGGGGACACCCCCCCGCCACCCGCCCGGTCCCGACTGATAGGCGGCCGAGGCAGGGAGGCGGGGCCCGGCGGTGCTTTCTATAAATATTCATGAGAGCGCGGCGGCCAGAGTGGCGCTGCCGGGGCCGAAGAGACGCAAGTTCAGTGGAGCTGCTGTCGCGGTCGCCCCGCGGATCAGGTGGCGTGATCGCGGCCAGGGGTGATCGACTGCGCTCCATCGGCGGAGAAGGAGGTAGACGCAGAGTGGGAGTGAAGACCGGCTGGCTGGGGGTCGCCTGCAGAGCCGGGCGCTACGCGGACGGCACCAGGAGCCGCTCCGGCCGCCTCAGCAACGGCCCCGCTGCTGCCCGCCCACTCGAGTCGGTGGGATCCCGGCGCCGCGGGGAGCACCGCCTGGTCCGTGGGACGCCTCAGCCATCTTGACCGCGCTGCCCAAGAACTGACAGCGAAACTTCGCTGCCGCTCCCGCTCCGTGCCCGGCAGGCGCTGGAGCAGCGGCGACCCACGTTGCACAGCCAGCGAGGAGCGATGCGACGGCGGCTGAGGGGCCTTCCCTGAGTGGACCCATCTCACCGGGTGCTCGCGGGGCCGCCTCCCTCCCGGGCGACGGAGGCCTCTCACCTGCGGCCGGCACGGAGGGGGCTTCCCTCCGCCCCCCGGAGGGGTAGCCGGGGCGGGGGGGTGCTGTGGCACCGCGTTCCCCGTGGCTGCTGAGCGGGACAGGAGAGGAGCCGGGGTCGCAGCCCGCCGCCGAGCATGGAGTGGAGTTACCTGTTGGCAATCACCTCGCTGCTCGCCACCCTGTCCCTGCTCCAGCGCGCTGGCTGCGCCGCCGCCTCTGCGGCCGCCGCTGCGTCGTCTTCCTCCTCGGCCAAGGAGCTGTCGTGCCAGGAGATCACCGTGCCCCTCTGCAAGGGTATCGGCTACAACTACACCTACATGCCCAACCAGTTCAACCACGACACGCAAGACGAAGCCGGGCTGGAGGTGCACCAGTTCTGGCCGCTGGTGGAGATTCAGTGCTCCAGCGACCTGCGCTTCTTTCTCTGCAGCATGTACACCCCCATCTGCTTGGAGGACTACAAGAAGCCGCTGCCGCCCTGCCGCAGCGTCTGCGAGCGGGCCAAGGCTGGCTGCGCCCCGCTCATGCGCCAGTACGGCTTCGCCTGGCCCGACAGGATGCGCTGTGACCGCCTCCCCGAGCAGGGCAGCCCGGACACGCTCTGTATGGACTACAACCGCACGGACCTCACCACGGCCGCTCCGCCGCCCGCCAAGCCTCCGCTCCGCGGCGCCAAGCCTGGCGGCCCCGCCAAGGCGCCGCCCGCCGCCGCTGCGCCGCCGGCCGAGGCCCCACGCAAGCCGCGGCTGCCGCCGCCCTGCGAGCCGGGTTGCCAGTGCCGGGCGCCCATGGTGTCGGTGTCCAGCGAGCGGCACCCGCTCTACAACCGCGTCAAAACGGGTCAGATCGCCAACTGCGCCCTGCCCTGCCACAACCCCTACTTCAGCCCCGACGAGCGCGCCTTTACCGCCTTCTGGATCGGGCTCTGGTCCGTGCTCTGCTTCCTCTCCACCTTCGCCACCGTCTCCACCTTCCTCATCGACATGGAGCGCTTCAAGTACCCCGAGCGCCCCATCATCTTCCTGGCCGCCTGCTACCTCTTCGTCTCCCTCGGCTACCTGGTGCGCCTGGTGGCCGGGCACGAGAAGGTGGCGTGCAGCGGCGGCGCGGCGGCGGGCGGCGCGGGGGCAGGGGCGGCGGGGGCCGGCGGCGGCGCGGCGGGTGCGGCGGCGGCGGGGGCGCGCGGCGCGGCGGGTGGTGCGGCCGAGTTGCAGCCGGAGCTGGCGGTGGCCGAGCACGTGCGGTACGAGAGCACCGGCCCGGCGCTGTGCACCGTGGTCTTCCTGCTCGTGTACTTCTTCGGCATGGCCAGCTCCATCTGGTGGGTCATCCTCTCCCTCACCTGGTTCCTCGCCGCAGGGATGAAGTGGGGCAACGAGGCCATCGCTGGCTATGCGCAGTATTTCCACCTGGCCGCCTGGCTGCTCCCCAGCGTGAAGTCTATCGCCGTGCTGGCGCTCAGCTCCGTGGACGGGGACCCCGTGGCCGGTATCTGCTACGTGGGCAACCAGAGCTTGGAGAATTTACGGGGCTTCGTGCTGGCACCACTGCTCATTTACTTGGCCATCGGCTCCATGTTCCTGCTGGCCGGCTTCGTCTCGCTTTTCCGCATCCGCAGTGTCATCAAGCAGCAGGGTGGCCCCACCAAGACCCACAAGCTGGAGAAGCTGATGATACGCCTGGGGCTCTTCACCGTGCTCTACACGGTGCCAGCTGCCAGCGTGGTCGCCTGCCTCTTCTACGAGCAGCACAACCGGCCCCGCTGGGAGGCCACGCACAACTGCCCCTGCCTGCGGGACCAGCAGCCTGATCAGGCCCGCCGCCCAGACTATGCTGTCTTCATGCTCAAGTACTTCATGTGCCTGGTAGTGGGTATCACCTCCGGTGTCTGGGTCTGGTCTGGCAAGACCCTCGAGTCCTGGAGGGCCCTCTGCACCCGCTGCTGCTGGGCCAGCAAAGGTGCTGCCGTGGCTGGGGGCACAGGGGCAGGAGGAGGTGGGCAGGCTGCAATTGCTGCAGCAGGAGGACTTGGGGCTGGAGGTGGTGGCTCCCTCTACAGCGATGTCAGCACTGGCCTGACGTGGAGATCAGGCACTGCCAGCTCTGTCTCCTACCCCAAGCAGATGCCCCTGTCTCAAGTGTGAAGAGGAGGGGAAAGAGGCCAAAGGTTAGGGAATGAGGGACACTGGCCTTCATAAAATGCCCCCTCACTGTTTGGTGCCATTAATGAACTCCTAATGGTCCTTATTAGCCACAGCTTGTATAGAACAATGCAGCTGGCAGAGGCCCTAGGCTCCAGCCCCCTCCTCCTTCCCCTCCATTCATATGCAGGGAGCATGTACTTCAAGGAGCCAGCTTATTATTTTGCTGGCAGAGGAGGGTAGAGTGTCACCCGTGTCTTGCAGAGGGCAACACACTGCAGTTCTGATTCACTCTGGACTAACAGCAGCTCATGGGAGGAAGGGTCTCCCTCCATACCATCCTGAGGTAGGAGTCTGCTGGGACTGCAGGTTTTTGGGATGTTGATGACCAGGCAAATGCCTTACAATACAGACTGAATCAAAAAATGTCTTAATTATACACCCCAGCTAAATACGGGTTTCCTACATTAAAGGATGTATTTATATAATTATTTGTTACCTTGTACAGATGTGTAGATATGTATATATCCAAAGCTATACAGTCTGTAAATTTTTTGTAAAAAAGTTTAGAGGCTACCCCTGTAAGAGCAAATACGAGTATTCTATTTTGTCAATAAAATGACTTTTGATAAATGACTTTTTCAAGCTTTTCCCCTACTCCTGCCCTGGTTATTCAGCTGCTCTGGCTTTAGGTTCTACAAACTAGGAACTACATTCATGCTTCAGTCATTACTGTGTAATAGATGGCTGCTTCTTACAGCAGTGAGATACACAGACACAAGGAAAACAAGTAATCCAACAAGTTGCTCTGAAAAAGCGTTTGCCAAAACTGGGAGGTGCCTTACCATAGTTCTCTGGTTTGTTTTTTGTTGGTTTGGTTTTCTTTTTTTTTAAGATCGCAGCATCTTTAAACTGGGCCTTTACAAAAGAGTCATCTCATGGCATGTTAAGTATCCTTTTAAAACGGGTGTTATTTTAGGAATGTGCACACACGCCTCTCCTATCTGTTGTCTGCAGTTCTGTAAGCACCTGCCTTTCTGGGGATGCATGCTGAAGTGTAAAGGTTAATGTTTTAAATTCATAGATCATGTATGACAGCAGAACAGCAAGTTGAGATTTGTTAGATCAATCTCTTAACAGATTAAACTAACATCTTAACTTTTGTATATCAAATATGGTCCTTTTTCAGAAGAAAAGGTATTGTTCTTCTGTCAGGACTAAGCTAATTTATTTGAGCAGAAGGCTGTTGAATTAACAGAAGAATGCTTTGGCAATTGTTGAACTTTTTACCTGTCTGCCCAGTGGCTCAGAACATCATTTCTTTAAGAGGAGCTAAATGAATAGGGTTAATCTGTAGGGAACTTGGTTTCTTTTGAGTTTGAGAAATCTTTGATCTTTTCTCTTCACCAAATGTGATGTATAGTCTGAAGTTTCTTTCCCTGCTGCCTGGTTCCTCTTGTTGCAGACCAATTGGCCACCATGGAGCCTTAAAGTTCTTCAATTAAAGGGACATGGGACTTTTTTTTTTCTTTTTTTTTTCTTTTTTTTTTTTTTTTATTTTAAGAGGAAGACTTGTAACAGTTAGTGAACACCAGAGGGAAAAGGGAGAACAGCCTTTTAAACAGCTTTTCCCTGCATTGTTAGCCAGACTGCAGGCAGCAAGGCATGGCTTGGAGCATTATAGAAAAGAGCTATGAATGCCCTACAGGTGGTCTGCTCACATAATCTCCCCAATTTAAAACATTTTCCTTTACAGGACAATTGCATTACAAAACTCTCTTCTCTTTTGCTCCTAATTGAACCAAAGAACAACTACAAGATTTTCTTTAAAAACTAAGTGCCTAAAAAATTTTTTAAGATCTATTAACTACATTCTAATCTGTTTTCTAAAATGGGATCACTCAGAATACCAGGAGTAGAAGCTGCATTAGACATTATTCCAGATATTCTCAAGCCTTATATTCTGTCGAATTGGCAATCATTTAAAAGCAGTTGGTTAGGTTGTGTGCTAGCAATGAAAAGATAGCCCCAGGTCCCTTATTAACCTGTCAATCATGGTAAGAGATGGGCAGCTACCCTACTAATGACATAGATATCGGTCATGATTTGTGGGAAAAACCTAATTCCATGGAGCACTGATTGATTTTTGGTGTCCCTTTCAAAGAACCTGTAACTTAATAGACTCCTCCACTTCTACAAAGTTACCAGGATCATGAAAAGGAGGAATTTAAAATTCCAATCTCTAATTCCTTAGAGGGAAAAATAATTTTAATTTCTCAGATGCAAAGGATGTTCCATTGGGATTTACGCATCATGCCTATTTATACACCAGTTGGCAAGGATTGGAATACTGACATTCCTGTAAGTTGAAAAGGCCTTAGTGTTTTCCTGTCTTGCTTGAAACATTTTGTAACAGTCATTGAAACATTTAAATCAACATGGCAATTCTCCCTGCTGTCAGTGGGACTAAGGTAGAGGGGAAGAAACACGTATGGAAGCGCAATCACTTGTTCAGATAAAGCTTTGTGTTCCTTCCCCTCCAGCAGATTCTGGCAAGCAACAGGACAGGTATAGCCACAACTGTTCTGAGAATTTATAGTAGACTGATGGTACAGGTTGCTAGTGCTGAGATAAAAGCACTTCTAGTAAAAGACAGTAAGTAGCCCTGTGTTTCTTAATGTACCCTGGAGCGATCTGAGAGGTGCTGTAGGTGGACTTAGGCAGGAAAGAGGTTTTATCGCTAGTTAAGTCAACAAGATGTCTGCTTTGGAAGTGACTGAGCAATAATGCAAAGGTTACACAGATAAAAATGGGATAAAATCGGAATCACTAGGAAGAAACCTGGAGAAAAGGGTACTAGAGAACTTAATTTGTAAGTGCAGATTTTTGTGAATCTACATAAAGTTTGTGTATAGGGAAAAAAAGAAAATAATCAGGAAACCCAACAGCAAGGCACTTAGGTGTACAAGAAATAAAACTACAGCTACATAGACCTTCACATTATCAGATAAATTTGCTATGAAGATCCAAAACCTCTAAATTGGTAGAAGTTACATGTTAACTTTCAGGGTCTGATGACAAACTGCCATCTCCCTAAATTTGCCAGACAGCTGTTAAAACTAGTCCCAGAAGAACTGTGGCCTGCAGAGCAAGAGTGCTGCTGTTGTCTCTGTTGGCACAGGCTCACTGGTTGACAGCAGCCATGCACCCAGCAGCCACACTGGGTCTGGAGAGCTGAGGGCAAGCTTTAGTATCATCAAGGTGGCTTCAGAGCACAGGCTGTAGCAACGTTTGGAGAGCTGGATAAATGGCAACTGGGAGCCTCCTGCAGCCAACAGAAAGGCTTAATTGTGCTGTTCAAAAGTGATTAAGCTAGCAGAGAAACATGGTTTGGGACTTCTTTCTTCTCTAGTAAGCAACATACCTTTAGAGTGTTCCTTTTCTTTCCATAACCCCTCCTGGCTTTACATGTTCCTGCTTTTCAAAAGGAAATCCTATGGATTATTCTCCTCCTGCTGTAATGAGTGAATAATCCTGCAGCCTCCAAAGGAGCTGGCCGAGCTGCCAGTGAGCCTTTTAAAAAGAGGCAGAGCAGTGCAGGAGCTTCAGGAGGGACACCACATCTCCCCTGGGCCGTGCTGCTGAGCCCCTGGGAGCTACCTGGCATTGTCCTGCAACCAAACCTGCTCCAAAGTTTTCCCTGTGTAGGAAAAGCTTCCCTGGAGCTTTGATAATCAGTCATGGAAGGGAAGGAACTTCAGACAGGGAGGAATTGGGAAATCACTATATATTGAAATAATATGAATATGACCAGGCTTCCTGGGAAGGCTGGGAAGGCTAAGGCACACAAGGAGTCTTTTTTCTTTCTTTCTTACACAATATTTTAAAATCAAGCTATTGAGGTGCTTACCCATTAAAGAGCTCTCCAAATGTGCTTGACTACTCCTAAAAGGTCTCCCAGGTTGGGTAGGAGAGCTGGAGGCAGGGTCGTCTCTGCGTGCATCGTGCTTCACCCCAGCTTCAGAGCCCAAGCTCTTTCCAGATTCACCCGCGCAGACACCTCAGTAGACATCTGAAGGTGGCTTGTAGGAAAAATCTACAGCAGGTTTTCACTAGAGGCAACCAGTGCTGGGAGCCAAAACAGGATGCCCGGATTTAGAAAGGAATCAGGAGCTGAGAAAGAAATACCAGAGTCCTTGGAGGAATCCCAGGTCTACTTTGAAATATGAAAACTTCAATACAACTTGTGCTTTATCTCAGTGACTCTGCTCCACATACTTCTTTCGCAAGCACTACATGCAATACAAAAGCCAAATCTAACCTGCCCAGTTAATCTTCTTAACCGATAAAGACATGGAATTTTAAATAGGATAGACAGGCCATCTATATACAGGGAAAAATCGAACTGGTGGTAATGGATGATGAAAAATGACAAAAGATGCTCTTGGAGTAAAAGTTCACTTGCAGTCAGGATCATGCTGGAAGAAAGCTCAGTGTGGGCCAGTCAAACCAGCTTGTAGAATCACAGCCAGTTTCCAAAATGCCTGTTACAACCTGCCTGCAGCATGCCCTGCTCCTGCACCCTGTTTCAGACCCACAGGGCCTGTGTGTCTTGAGGCACACACTTGTTCCACCCACTGTGACCAGCCTAGGTTCTGTCCTAACACGGAATTGAGGAACAAACTGTCTCCATTGCTCATCCTAGCCATGTTTCCTCTCTTTTTGCCCTACATACCAACATGGGATGGTATAGAAAAGATAACACACCTCTTCCCAGAATTAGAGGCTCAGCAACAAAGGCCTCCCTGAAAACAACAGCAGGAGCCTAAGGAGAATAAAGGAAGTGATTTACAGGTGATGGTCCAGGGAAGAAATACTAAACAGGGCAGACACCCTGCATGTGATCATGATGAGCTCTAAGCAGCCTTTAAAAGGACTCAATTAGAATTTTCAGACAGCTCTATTTATGTAAGCTTTTATAAATGCCCATCATTACTGTAATCAGGTATGTTAATTTCCCTAGTTCAGCAGAAAAGGATCACACATGATAAATGCTATTCTGGTATGGAAATGACTAGTGTCTGGTATTAAAATGTGGAGCCATAATCTGAGTTGACTAAGAATAGTCAAATCACTTCAGAAACTAATACCTAAGGTCAAATGATGAACCAATCTTTTTGAAGGCTGAGGTAATACATTTTTACTCCTGTCTGTCTTTTATCTATGATCTCAAAACACTTTACATTCACTCGTGAATTAAAAATGAAGTTTCTTCTTGGGAGACAAAAATTGCAGTAATAATACCTAGGCTAACAAAACTTCAGTGCAGGTCTAGGACAAGAACCTGGATTTCCCATCTCCATTCTGTATTTTCAGTAACACTTTATTTTACAATCACTTCTTCACACCTATGCCCTCCCCACCAATTTCCCTTCACCAGCTTTCCCAAAATGCCACAGTCCCACATGCCCAGAGTGCACGCAGTTTCCCAGGCACAGCACCAGATCTATTACCAGTTTTCAGTGAAGTTGGTGTTCTCAGACACCAATCAAACCACTGCCTTTACAGCTTATGGAGCACTCTAGCACTTACCTGGGGCCTGGGTGGGAGATGTGGTCCTCTTCACCAAAGACATT